ACTGTTTTTGCAGAGGTACTCAGAATACAACAGTCTAGAAGCATACACATATAAATTATTATTATAATCAAAAAGAAGCGCTAAGCCACAAGGACTATACAGTCATACACATATAAAGATACACAACATATCCCTCCAAACTGCCAATATCCAATATATATATAAAATATATATATATATATATATATATAATATATAAAATATATATAATATATAATGTCGTGGGCCCAATATGTAAAACTAGTCAATTAGCAAGAACTCATTTAAAATTAACTCCTTTCTGAAATTTTCTCTTATACTTTAAAGATATATTTTTTTCATTAATGTTAATGTAAAAAATTTTAATTTTGCACCAAAAGGAACTTAGAAAACTTACCTAACCTTATTATAATAAGAACAATTTATTTTAGCCTAACCCAACTAAATATATTTTAAATTTGTTTACAATAATTTAATACTAAACAAACACAGTGAAATATATTTTTTTCGTTAGGTTCAGAATGATATTGGCGAAATTATTACATACACAAATTTTCACTTGTCCTATATGGCAAGATGAGCGTTGCTATTTAAGCCAAGATCGCAAGTTCTGCCTATTCGGCACGACATTATATATTTTTATATATATATATATATATATATATATATATATATTATATATATTAATATATATATTTTATAAATAAAATTATTAAATATATATATATATATATATATATATATATATATATTATATATATATATATATAAATATAATATATATATATAGTCGGGGCCGAATAGGCAGAACTTGCATCTTGGCTTAAATAGCAACACTCATCTTGCCATATAGGACAAGTGAAAATTTGTGTATGCCATAATTTCTCCAAAATCATTCTGAACATAACGAAAAAAATACATTTCACTGTGTTTGTTTAGCATTAAATTATTGTAAACAAATCTAAAATATATTTACTTGGGTTAGGCTAAAATAAATTGCGCGTTATAATAAGGTTAAGTAAGTTTTCTAAGATTCTTTTGGTGCAAAATTAAAATTTTTTACATTAACATTAATGAAAAAAATGTATCCTTAAACGTATAAGAGAAAATTTTAGAAAGGACTTAATTTTAAACGAGTTCTTCCTAATTGACCAGTTTTACATATTCGGCAACACAGGGAAAATCTGAGTAATAACATCAAGGTCAAGTAGGCCAGGTGGTGGGCCAGTGATGAATCAGTAATGGGTTCTATATTTATTTTTAAAATCAAAACCAAGTACTGAACCCACTAGGGTCATATAGCACTGAGTATTTTTTATACAAGAGTTTGGAATGACATGAGCAGGTTGGCTAGACAGTAGTGTATAATACATTCTGTTGCTCTGCTGGATGGTGTTGTAGGGTGCATGATGGCCACCTCCAGGCTCCGTTGTTTCGTTCTTGTCTCCTGACTCACTTGTTGGGTTCCTTCTCAGTTCACGATTTTTTTTATTAATTATAATCATAACTAAGTGCTAATTTATTACTTAAAAATTTGTTACACTGGTATTGTGCTGCTTCTCTATTCTATGAGATAGTTACACAATGAGAACCTAACTTTGTTTTCCTATCACATTACATCATGCAGGAGGAGGCTCATACAAAATGTTGAAATGTTTTCAGCCTGAGCTGGGAGACTTCAGTAGAACAATGAGGATGTCATCAAGTATTCCAGCAAGGGTTCATCAACTGTGGCAGCTCATGATGTGGTAATGTATCCTATAGTGGCTGGTGTTGCTGACTTGTCTTCAAGCAACATCTTACAACCAGTTGATTATAATCATAACTAAGTGCTAAACCCACAAGGGCCATACAGCACTGTCAAAACCAGCATGAGATTACCACTTCCCCCACATGCCTTCATGGGAGGGCTAAACCCATAGGGGGTCATAAAGCATCTGAGGTAATAAGAATTCAGGCTTGATTCAAGGAATTAAAGTACAGGTCAAATTCCTTAGATGAACTAGCCCCTCCCCACCCCTCTATATCAAGGACCCTCCCAGAGGGGTTGCTCACACCCCCTCACCTCAACACTACCCCAGTAGTGGTATTTTTAGGTCTGCCAGGCCTGTTGATCTCTCAATATTTTTACTTCTGGAAGAGCGCTAAACTTGCAAGGGGGAAAGGGGGTCATATCGTGCATAGGGGGGAATAGGAGACATTTAGGTTTGTTACAGGGGAAACACAGATCTAATTCATTGGATCAAAAGCCCTTTCACTGGCTTCAAGGAACCTCCCTGGAGGGGATCTAACAATTTTAGAAATACTAATGGTTCTATTATTATTTTATTGAAAAAATAAAAAGCACTAACCTTGTGTGGGTCATTCAGCTCAGCAGAGAGCTATTAAAAATATTTACAGATGTTTGTTATTTTATATTTTTTTCACTGGGGAAGCACTAAACCTCTTGGAAAAGCACTAAACTCATAGGGGTCATATAGAAAGGAAGGCATTCATGTTCGATCCAAGGAAGGGGAGAGTAGCTCCAATTCCATAGTCATTAACCAGCTTCCAGGCACTCCCTTTAAAAACTTAAAATTGACAAAACACATATATGTACATTCTAGGTAGTAGGTTGGTAGACAGCAACTGCCCAGGGAGGTACTACCATCCTGCCAAGTGAGTGTAAAATGGAAACCTGTAATTGTTTTACATGATGGTAGGATTGCTGGTGTCTTTTTTCTGTCTCATAAACATGCAAGATTTCAGGCACGTCTTGCTACTTCTTACACTTAGGTCACACTACACATACAAGCATATATATATACACACCTCTCTGGGTTTTCTTCTATTTTCTTACTAGTTTTTGTTCTTGTTTATTTCCTCTTACCTCTATGGGGAAGTGGAACAGAATTCCTCCGTAAGCCATGTGTGTTGTCAGAGGCGACTAAAATGCCAGGAGCAAGGGGCTAGTAACCCCTTCTCCTGTATATACGTTTTACTAAATGTAAAAAGAGAAACTTTCGTTTTTCTTTTTGGGCCACCCTGCCGTGGTGGGATATGGCCAGTTTGTTGAAAAAATAAATATATATATACACACACCCCTCTGGGTTTTCTTCTATTTTCTTACTAGTTCTTGTTCTTGTTTATTTCCTGTTATCTCCATGGGAAAGTGGAACAGAATTCTTCCTCCGTAAGCCATGCCTGTTGTAAGAGGCGACTAAAATGCCGGGAGCAAGGGGCTAGTAACCCCTTCTCCTGTATAAATTACTAAATTTAAAAAGAGAAACTTTTGTTTTTCTTTTTGGGCCACCCTGCCTCGGTGGGATACGGCTGGTTTGTTGAAAGAAGAAAAGACATACGTACATACAGATGTTGACATGCATATATCTATCTACATACCTATATACACCTACATGTTCATTTATGATTAGTAGTAGTAGTATTACTACTAAGGTGTATTAAGCTGTGTGGGTCAGAGATAAATACTGAGAATGCAGTTAACAAACTTCAATCTTGAGGTTGAGAATAAAGACCTTGTGCTCTAGTGAATGGTGCATTATATTTAGGGGGTCATTTACCATCAGGAAAATGGAAACCAGTTGGGTTCAATCCAAGAGGACAAGTCTAATCCCCTGGATAAATAAGTCCTCAGCAGCATCAAAGAATGTCTCTAGAAAGTAGAAATGAATCTTATCATAGGTGATGATTATCGACACCACGCGATTGTCATAATCACACGCAAAAAAATGCGTTAAGCCTGTAGGGTCATTGGCTGCTGGCACCACTTAATACTGTGATTCTTTGAGTGGTTCTGTCCCACCTCCACAAGACGACCATGTGTGATTCTGGTGTGCAGGATACTGTCTGTTATTCTGTGCCAACTGGTGATACTCTTTACAGTACTTTAATAGGAGCCTGCTGACTTCAAACAAATGATTGATTTTACAAAAATATGGCACTCAAAATACATTGCAAAATAAATTTTACTCAGTGGGAGATGGCCAGCATGTTAAAAAAATGTAAAAGGAGGAAATTAAAAGCAAACATTGGAAAAAGCAAGGTGATGAGGGTAACAAAAAAATTCAGGTAATGAAGAAGAAAGGGTAGAGATCATCTCAGATGGGGAAAGGATGTAACAGCAATCTTGTGTGGTAGGGGCCTGAGCATTCAGCAAGTGTTAGATCAAAGTGAATGGAGACCAGTGGTTTTATGACTTGGCATACTGATTAGCTGGGCTTGATTCCTGGAGGTGAAAGTACAGTGTCTGCACTTTGGAGTAATGTAGATGTTGCAGTTCAAATGTGTATGTGCTTCTCCCAAGGCAACTGAGTGAATTATGTTGAATGTGTTACTATTTGGGGGGGGGGGGGATGTCACCCTACCTTGGTGGGAAAAAGCTAATGTATCCAGTTTCAATATCACGAATCATCCAAGACCACCCCATTCCCCAGTAAACTACTTCCTACATACAGGTAATACAGATAATTAATATAGTGTATTAGCCGACTCAGATGGAGCAAACACTGATCATATCTATTTGCCAATAGTTTTAGAAATTCTTATTAATACAGCAGTGACCCATGTAAAATATATCCTAATTGCAAAGCATGATACATCTGCTGTACAACTACAGTGTCCTCCATAATTATAAATTATACTACTTAAATATTTTGTAACCATGTTTATGCCATTTTACTGCCTTAATATCATTTAATTGAATGACTTGAAATTCTCAGTATCCTTAAACACAATAGCTTTAAATCTTACTTATAAACTAAAAGATTTATGAAAAATTATGTTAATATGATTTTAGAATCTTATAAACTTTTATAGGATACTGCCTTTCAAATTTAAGTATCTTTTAGCCACAGGAAATTCTTCCCTGTACTGTGTTGAACAGCATACTAAAAAAGTATTACATTCTTAAAGTATTACATTCTTAAAGTATTACATTCTTTAAAGATGTTTTTCATAATGATGCCACTTTCCCAGGTTTGAGCATTATACAAACCATAGGTTGAGGGAAGAAAAATAAGTCATTCCAATCTTAAAAAGTATAATTATTATTAAATAGTCACAATTAAACAAAACTACAAAAACAATCCAGGGTATTTTAGAGAGCAAATTGGAGTGCATGAAAATGGGGAAAATATTTTATCAAATATCTGCAGTTATAACAAAATAAGAGCAACTATGTCTTTACATACTTGCCGTGACTTCCACAGAAACAAACCCTATGTATTTTAATGTAATGTAATAAAACTATCTGTATATCTTTCTACAGCGAGACTTTAAGACAACCCTATTGCTCATCCATGTTTTTACTTCCCTGCTCTTCCTTAATCATTATCTTCCATTTAAACATTCCATTTCCTAGAAAAGTGAGAACAGAGGAATACAAGATACATTCCCCTATCAGTCAACTAAATTTGGTCTGGATATCTCCAATTTTTTTTCTAATACAGTACTGTACTTACTCTTTACTCGCTTTCACTTCTTCTAAAACTTTCTTTGGGGTTTTCCCATAGACAGCATCTAAAGTAAGGCCTGTGAGAAAAAACTGTTTTTAGTAAGTACACAATTCAACACTATCATATTATAATATAAAGGATCACAATACTGTATTTCTTTGACCAAGCAAGAAATACAAATTTTAAACTTATATATATAATTCTACCCACAAAATCCCTTCCCTGATATATAGTTTTTTTTTTACCCCTGATGACAATTATTAGAAAGCTACATGTATTTTTACCCATATAAGCCTTAAAACCTTTAGACAATGCCTAAACAATCACTTGGATCATTACATTTAATTAGATCAGATATGACCACAAAACAAGAGAGCTAAGGAGAAAAATACATGTACTTAATCATGAAAAATAGTAAACAGCTTGCCTGAAAATACAAAAGCCGTTCCAACCCACTGCCGTGGAGAGAGTGTATTGCCGAATAGTATAACTGACCCCAGTACAGTGAAGAATTTGCGAGTTGTAGTAACCACTGAGCATGGAAGGGGACCAAAATCACTCACCATCAAAAATATAAAGAACTGCAAAAAGAAAAAAATGTATTTATGAAACCTAAACATAATATTCATAGGCAATATATCTTAAGCTAAGGATACTTCAAGAGACATTTGATATCTTATTAATGACTGGGTTTAATGATACAGTACTATAAACAAATAAGCATTTTCTTCTAAACTGGCACTTTACTGTGTAAGAGGAAAAGGCAGGAATAAATGCAGCACTGGCCTGCAAGGTGTACCCCATGGCTCAGTTGTCAATGCATTAGTTGGATGCTGTGGGTGAAAAGTTTAAAGGACTTCATTGGAAATATGACAGACAGTCCCCTGTGATGAACTGACTTTCTCGGGTTATCCTGGGTGGTTAACCCTCCAGCTTAAAAATCTGAAATCTTATTTTAGCACACTAGACAATAAAAAGCACACCTTCTGGTGAGAAAGAGACTGTTTACAAAGAATCCATTACAATAATTAATGAATTTGCTCAAGTATAAAGTCCAGTCCTAGACGAAACTTCATAATGAAGGTTACTCAGCAAAGTCTTTCTCACTAATTTTCATCGAAGGTTTAATGTATATAATACAAAGGATTACAGCAGTGGAACAATCAAACTTGCCACCAGTTCATTAAAAAGGATTAAAATGCCTTCAGTCCAAACTCCTGATCATTTACCCAAGATCTGGAGACATGCTTTTTCTTCCTTATCTTATTCTGTTTAGAAGTTTACCTTCTACCACTCTCACTAAAAATGACAGTTGGATAGTTGCCAGACAGGTATTTGGATTTTCCACTCAGAATATAGTACTCTATTGGACTACCCTTGTCAAACACCATTTAATTAGCATTAACATACTTTTACTCTAATCCATTAAAATTTTTACCACTCTTAAGAGCCAGCAAGCAAAACAACCGTGCTAACATTGTTTTGGTAAATCATTATTCAGTAACACTCCACAATTACCACACATTGTTAAAGCTTTCTTTTTATAAACACTGATATCTGTAAAACCATTGCAATTTCAAAATTTTTCACTATACAGTAAAATTTTTAAGAGTTAAGTCTGCAAAAAGAGCACCTACAGAATACAATATACAGTGGAACCTCAAATATTGAACTTAATCTGTTCCAGGAGTTAGTTCTAAATTCGAAAAGTCTGAAAAGTGAAGTAATATTTCCCATAAGAAATAATGGAAATACAATTAATCCGTTCCAGAAACCCAAAAATATTCACAAAAAAAAATACATTTTATAGAGATTAATTATAGTTTTACATACACACAACATTGCTCAATTATGTATTAATAGATTTAAATAAACATATAAAATAACATTTTACTTACTTTTATTGAAGATTGGTGATGGCATCTGGAAGATCGGGAGGAGGAGAGAGGGAGTTGGGGTTTGTGTTTGGAAGGAGAATCCCCCTCCATGAGGACTTCAGGTATCAAAACTCTCTCTGGGGTTACTTCCCTTCTCTGTCTTTTAATGCCACTAGGACCAGCTTGAGAGTCACTGGACCCCTGTCTCACAAAATAACTGTCCACAGTACTGTTTCTGGTGCCTCTAAGATTTCCCTAAAATGGGACATGGTTCTGTCACTGAACTTGTTGCAAAGATGGCTTCTTTCAGCTTGCTCAGGGTGGTACTTCTCCACAAACATTTGGACATCATTCCACTTGGACATCATTCCAATTCTGTATTATTTCCTTCTTCACATCTATGGTGTTTTTCACTTTCTTTACCACAGGGGTACCACTAGTAAGTTTCTTTGGGCTCATTGTAGCTTATTTCACTATCCCACAAGCACTAAACATAATGAAATAATCATAAAATGTTTGAACGAGAGAGCATGTTAGTGTTCACTCAAGCATCAACAAAACCAGACTGGTTCACGGCGCCTGCGTGGGGGTGCGGGACAGAGCGGGCTGCCGGACAGGTCCGATACCCAGCGGTTCGAAAATAGGGGCGAGTTCGACAATAGGGACAAAGTTGGTTCGAAAAAAGGGTTCTATTTTCGAAGAGTTCGATAAGCTATACATTCGAAATGTGAGGTTCCACTGTATTCAACAGAGCAGATGGAAACAATAACAGAGTATGGAGGGGGTGTAACTATAACAGTATTTTAAGTTGTATACCTGGGCGAGGTAAACTTTCATGCAATATATTTACATTATATCATATATACATGTTTTCTCCACATTCAACTGAGTTATTCACACAAGACTTGCTGGCTTTACAACTCACCTGACCAAGAGCACTACAAATGCTGAAGATGAGCATCTTGGCGAGGACCTCTGGATAACGCTGAGCAAAGCTGACAAATGTGAAGATTTCACCAGTCACCAAGAGAGCTACCACAATGAGAAAGGCATTAAAAACATTATCTGATTATGCAAAGTGCTTCTTGCATTTATTTAGTAGTAAAAGTGACATTTACAGAGCAATTTGACCATGTACATCATTCAGTGCTTGTATAAAAAAAAATGATAGAAACTTATAGCTGGACTCAAGTCTTGGAGGTGGGAAGTACAGTGCCTGCACTCTGAAGGAGGGGCGGGGATATCTGAAGTTTTGAACTGTAGCATCAGCATGCCTCTGGCAAGACAGTGATGGCATGATTGATGGTGAAGGTGTTATTTCTTTTTAGGGTCACCCTACCTCAGGGGGAGATGGCCAAGGTGTTAAAAAATAAAGTATTAATTTGTACATAACATTGCTGTATGACCACTATGGGTTTAGAGCTCCCCCATGAATATAAAAATAATACATATACTACATAATAAAAACAAAGATAAAATTAATGAAAACTAAAACTTACAAGCATGAATAAAGCACACAAGTAAATACTACCATGCCAAGTCAAAATAACCAGCATCAATTAAATTATTAATGTTGAAAGATAATCCTAAAGGTTCCCTAACATCCTAACAGACACTCCAGTAATTACAAAAACATAAAGGTAGAAATGTCTAATTCGAAGGAAAACGTTAAAATGAATTCAAGTCAGTGGCACGCCACAAGCTAAAATGTTTCCTTCTCCGAGTCACCCTGCCTTGGGAAATGACTGAAATTAAAAAAAAAAAATGCCTCTTGCTGTATTTTATATCTGTTGTAGCTTGGACAACAATACCCAGCAGTCTTATCTTTGATCAGACCTTTTATCTAGATAGATATACACCTTCATGTAGTGCAGGTTATAACTGGACAAGATTCACTCCAGTTCCACCTAATGATCAAATAAGCTTACTTTTCTCAAGATTTAAGTGTTCTGTTTGCCATAGCTTGAATTCTAAAGAAAAGGAAAAACATCTTTTTTTTTATTCATACTCAGTACAAGAATACTTACCTATGGCTAAATATCCAATAGAGAAGAGGTTCATATTAAGCATCATGTGTCCAGATTTGGTCTTGGACTCTGCAATCATGCGTTCTTGAACTGCTCCTGTCAGCCCGTCCATAGTCAATGACAACAGCTAATAATAATAATACGTACTTTGTTACTCTCTGTTCCTTTTGACATTCTGTATAGTACTGCTAAAACATTTGTTCTTCTGGTGTACATATTAATATGCAAATATTATAATTTTTTTTATTGCATAAAAACTCTAAACTGATATTAGTGTTTTTAAGACAGTAGTGGCTTGAGTTATAAAACATTATTTCTAAAAGTATAGCATAATTCTTAGCAAAATGTGATAGTGGAAAACAAAGCAGCAAAAGCTGAAGCACAATATTAAACTTGTGATGAACACTTCGTGGAAGAATGGAAGAAGAAACAAGTTAAACTGATGAACACACTACAACAGAATAAAGTCAACACAACAAACATATGTAGAGCATTTAATGACAGACAGAAGGCAGCATCCAAGAGTAATTTTAATTATCCATGCTTAATATAGGAGGGCATTTTAGTAAATATTTACAAACTCTCCCATACCAATAATTCATTAAATCGTATAAAGATACAACTGTTCTGCCTTAATATAAATTTAGCAGAAATTCATATCAACCCTCAGAGCAAACATATAACAACCTGCTGCATTTCATTCTCATAAATTGTCTGCCAGCACACTGTTGATTCAAGGCTCTGAAGAGATACAAGCCACTAGGTGTAAAAAGTTTTATTTGTTAAAGTTTTCTGGTCACCAGATCATTTGTCAACATTTAACCATCCTAACATCATGTATAATGAGGGTGTTGTTTTCAACTATTAGAGAGCTTAGTGTCCACCCTACTGCTGAATATTCTCTGCCTTTTATGAGATTTGCTTACTGGCTGTTAACTAAGTATATGTTGATCCTGCAGTAATCAAGGGCACTGCACCTCATCAATACCATTTTCCTTGACATGATGTTATTGATGATGCTCAAAAAATTATATTACAAATCAATAACATGGAACAAGATGAAAAGAAGAGATAGAAAATTACATGAAATGAAATTCATGTCAAAGGAATGAAGGAAAAAGTTAAGCTATCAAATATAGCATAAGACTAAAAAAAAAGTATCCAATGCTATGGTAACAAATAGTATCAAAAGAAAAATATTAATAATAATTGTACCTAATTTAGGTAGTAGGTTGGTAGACAGCAACCGCCCAGGGAGGTACTACCGTCCTGCCAAGTGAGTGTAAAACGGAAGCTTGTAATTGTTTTACATGATGGTAGGATTGCTGGTGTCCTTTTTTCTGTCTCATAAACATGCAAGATTTCAGGTATGTCTTGCTACTTCTACTTACACTTAGGTCACACTACACATACATGCACAAGCATATATGTATATACACACCCCTCTGGGTTTTCTTCCATTTTTCTTACTAGTTCCTGTTCTTATTTATTTCCTCTTACCTCCATGGGGAAGTGGAACAGAATTCTTCCTCCGTAAGCCATGAGTGTTGTAAGAGGCGACTAAAATGCCGGGAGCAAGGGGCTAGTAACCTCTTCTCCTGTATATATATTACTAAATGTAAAAGGAGAAACTTTCGTTTTTCCTTTTGGGCCACCCCGCCTCGGTGGGATACAGCCGGTGTGTTGAAAGAAAGAAAGAATTGTACCTAATACAGAACTAACACAGCAATAAACCCACAGTTGCCCAGGAACCTTACTAAAAATATTTTGTTTTATCAAGACTATCTCTAATCACTATTTTCTCATACTGTGCTCTTTCCCTACTTTGCATAGTAAACCCTTGGTTTAACGAACTTTGGAAATATGGGACAAAAACCAGTGGGTCAAGTGATTCAGAAACTAAGTCCATTAGTTACAGAACTGTACATCACTTACAATCACAGCAAAACAATCTCATCTCTGTCCACCACAATCACCATTACCAGCCACTCTCTAACCCCCTACTACAGTACTCTGTTAAATGAACCTTGCACCTTTTCAGATTTCAACCCTGTCTCCTTGTCTATAAAAAATGAAACATTCACTACTTACTAGGAGTACCTCACCAAGTCCAATAACCACACCACCTGTAGATGCCGCTGCAGCCTTGGAGTCCTTATAAATAAACATCGCAACCCCTAGTGAAGGAAAACAGTTTTTAGCTAATAACCTCTATATATTAACCAGCATTCACAAAAGGAGAATAGGTAGTGCCATGGAACAGGCAGAGAAGAAAGAGTTGTTACAAAATATAAACATTATGAAATGGATACTTTTAGGGTAAGAAAATTCCCTGAATCTGAAAATAGCAATCAGATAAAATATAAATTACAATAATGAAACTAAGTATAAACTGTAAAAAGTAAGTATTTTCTCAGAAACACTACTTGCTGTACTTCATAAGTAAAAATGTGAATACCAGACAAGCTGTCAATGTGAGAAAAGAAGCAGAGGACTTAATAGACTAACAGGTTATACAGAACTTACCAACAACAATTAAGAAGATAAAGACATACTTCTTCCAAGTATAACTCTTGCGTCCCAAAATCACTCCCAAGACCATCACTGGAATGGGTTTACATGATTTTCCTACAACCTGAAATAAAAATAATTGTAAAAAAAAAAAAAAAAAAAGTGAACAGTTATGCAACTGTATGGCATTTTCAAATGCAAAATAAAAGAGTCTTGTCTTTCCTGAACATTACACACTCCCATTTTGTTCCTGAATTGGATCTGTGGCATAATCCAGCATTATACAGCTAAATCATTATTTTGCAATCATGCATATACAGTATTGTAGATTAAGACAGTCTATGCTTTTGTGGTTTTAAACCAAAGATGGGAGATATGCTTTGAATTATAGTAAACAAGAGATACCAGAGGCATGGCACTGGTTTGTCATGCACAGTCCACCAACCAGGGCAAAAAAAAAAAAAAAAAAAACTTAAACCACCAGCTACCTGTCGAAGGTTACTGACAAAAAATAGCACCCTTGGAACCTGGAGTGTAACCAATTTATCACATCTATGAACCGAGCCGAATGCATATAAAAACACAATAAATAAAATGTACTTTCCAGGCTATTATGACAATTTTGCTTTTTTTCATTTAGAATATACTACATGCATAAATAAAAACAGGTAATGTATGATTCTGGTGCCAGATACAATTCTTCAAATTCACTCAACTGAGCTCTAGCAAAGTATGTGGTGCAGAGAAATATTTTGGGCTCCCTTCATAAACTGCTTGGACAAAAATATAAATGGAGAAAAGCTGCTAAGGTAGGCTTTACTGCAATTGAAGGTTTTGTATTGACTTTAGTTCTCCAACTAGTAAACTGCTGTGCATGACTCACAAAATCATAACATGATTGCAAACAAACCTGGCCTGGAGTTTGAGGACTCACTTACCATGGGTTCAATCCCCATGTATTCCATGGTTTAACTGCTGTGCATACTTGGGGTTTGCAGTACTGAAGTAGTAGTACGTATAATTTTTACCATCTGATCATTGCCCACTAATGTAGAGTTAAAAAAAAAAAAAATTCTCATCACTAATTTAACAGTTCTCTTGCCAGAAGTACACCAATGTCACAATTCAAATGATTCTCCAAACTGCAACACTTGCCTGAAAAAGTCATAACCCATTTTCTTTTTCGGGCCACCCTACCTTGGTGGGAAATGACCAGTGTGTTAATAAAAAAATATGAAAAATCATCATTATCATGTAACCACAAAATAAATATAATACCTCAATGGAATGTGAAACAAATAAAATTACTGTACTTAATAAATGAAGATGAGCACTAACAGAAGCTCACTTGATGTGCACTACCAATACTACTAGCACACCATCACCCAAATCCTCTAACCCTGATCAGATACTCCTTTCCACCACCCACTTGAAATTTCTTAATAGCGCTTTCAATCACTTTCAGCTTCTTACTGATGTCCTACTAGTACAGTACAGTACTATTCATTACTATTAATAAAAATTAGCTATGCAGTAAAGTACATCTTACATTTTAACTAAACTCCTGCAGTTTTATCAGTCAGTAAAATCATTTTAAGTACAATTCACAAGGGTATACATGCTGATTTCAAACGTTACAGTATTAATAAAAAAAAATGGGAAAAACAAAACTAACAAGGAACAATAAGCAACAAACAAAAAGATATTGAATTTACTGATGAAATTTAAAAAATAATGAAGATAACAGATAAACAACTGACCTGTGTAGGGTAATTTATCCACTGAAGGGCCATATTGGAGGAGACCATGGCCAACAAATATGTGAGAGAGCACGAAGCATAGTACACACGACGAGTCGTATCTTCACCCTGGTCGAGGACAAACTTCCCCACTTACAACACACAGATGCACAGGAAGTCCAGGAGGGCCATGGTTATTATTAGAAATGGTTACATTAATATATTGGGTACACTTCCACAAGTTTAACGAGTTCTTATTGGCATGACCACTGGTGTCTAGTTAGTTAGAATCAGTGACAATTAGGAAAGAGGATGTTCAACCTATGACTCTTTCAACAGAACAGTTCTGTTCTAAACATAATTTTTTTTTTTTTTGTAAATTCATAATGCAGTAGTTAATCCTAAACTTTTGGCTACAATGCAGTGTAAATACAACATACAGGCGGCCCCACACTACAGCACTTCGCTTTGCAGCATTTCGTTAATGCAGTAGTTTACAATTATACCCATTCTTCATTTATTTAGACTCCCTACAATAAATATATCCACCACTTACTTTAAGCTAGGGATGAAAATATTTTAAAGTAAAATGTGCACTGTATGTACATTTTTTAGGCCTATCTCTAATGCTCATTTAATATATGATATTGTAAACATGTTGTCAGGCATTTAAATGCATTTGAAACTTAAAAAGGTTATGTTTCACTTCACAGCAATTTTCACTTTACAGCAGTAGCCTGAAACCTAACTTGCTACATAAGCAGGGCCATCCTGTATCCAAATATACTTACCATAATGAACCTAAATTCATTTTTTTTTTTTAAATCTAAGCACTATCAGAGAATGCAAAATATGCTTGCTACAAAATTTCCCAATATAAAAACATTTGCTTTCCAAAGCAGTCAAACAATACAGATAAAATAACTACATTTCTTAACTAATGACTAATCATGAAGAAATGTCATGAAATAATACAGGATACCCAAGCATTCATTTTCATTATATCCATCAATAATCATACTTCCATGTGTAATGCATATGTTCACTAAAAGAAAGTTATTCTATCTGGATCACAGTTTTTTGTTGATAAGTTCCTTATTAATTCGTCTCACATAGATGAGTTTAGTGTGTGTGCTTTTCTTCTGGCCACTACTAGTAATTCAAAAAATTTCACAGCTACAATTAGCTTATAACCTAAGCCAATAACGCTCATAAATAATGTAGAAATCCAAGTATAATATTGTACACACACAGGTTGACAAATATACACGTAGACCTTAATATACATCAAACTGTTACTAAAAGCTTATGCTATGTGAATTTTTTAAGATTATGAGCATTAAATGGTAAATATCATGCTGAATGCAGAGCACATATGTTTTGCCTAAGCTTAGAGTATGCAAAGCATAATCCCTAACTTTGGTAGAATCGTCCAATATACTGTAGTAGTAAACTTGGTTTGATAATCAAATACTAAAGCAATGAGTCTTCAATGATCACACTACCTACTTATACAGTATTATGCATTCAAAATATATTTTTTGCATCTTTTTTTTGTATCAAATGAATTACACATATACAACGAAACCTTAGTTTTCGTATTACCTAGTATGCATGTAAAACTATAGTTATATGTACTCTTAAAATGTATTTTTTGTTAATATTTTTGGGTGTCTGGAATGGATTAATTGGATTTACATTATTTCTTATGAGAAATATTAACAAAAAATACATTTTATAAAGAATAACCTGGGTATGCAAAAGAAGAAAATTAAAAGTGAATACAGGAAAGAGTAAGGTTATGAGGATAAAAAGATTAGGTGATGAAAGATTGAATATCAGATTGGAGAGAGAGAGTATGGAGGAGGTGAATGTATTCAGATATTTGGGAGTGGACATGTCAGCGGATGGGTCTATGAAAGATGAGGTGAATCATAGAATTGATGAGGGGAAAAGGGTGAGCGGTGCACTTAGGAGTCTGTGGAGACAAAGAACTTTGTCCTTGGAGGCAAAGAGGGGAATGTATGAGAGTATAGTTTTACCAACGCTCTTATATGGGTGTGAAGCATGGGTGATGAATGTTGCAGCGAGGAGAAGGCTGGAGGCAGTGGAGATGTCATGTCTGAGGGCAATGTGTGGTGTGAATATAATGCAGAGAATTCGTAGTTTGGAAGTTAGGAGGAGGTGCGGGATTACCAAAACTGTTGTCCAGAGGGCTGAGGAAGGGTTGTTGAGGTGGTTTGGACATGTAGAGAGAATGGAGCGAAACAGAATGACTTCAAGAGTGTATCAGTCTGTAGTGGAAGGAAGGCGGGGTAGGGGTCGGCCTAGGAAAGGTTGGAGGGAGGGGATAAAGGAGGTTTTGTGTGAGAGGGGTTTGGACTTCCAGCAGCCATGCGTGAGCGTGTTTGATAGGAGTGAATGGAGACAAATGGTTTTTAATACTTGACGTGCTGTTGGAGTGTGAGCAAAGTAACATTTATGAAGGGGTTCAGGGAAACCGGCAGGCCGGACTTGAGTCCTGGAGATGGGAAGTACAGTGCCTGCACTCTGAAGGAGGGGTGTTAATGTTGCAGTTTAAAACTGTAGTGTAAAGCACCCTTCTGGCAAGACAGTGATGGAGTGAATGATGGTGAAAGTTTTTCTTTTTCGGGCCACCCTGCCTTGGTGGGAATCGGCCAGTGTGATAATAAAAAAAATAACTATAGTTATACATACAAACTAGGGCATACAAAAACTGATGTTCCACTGTATTTGCAACAACCATTAATATTTAAATATGTCTCCTATTGAAAAATTTTAAGAGCTTCCTGAAACTTTACCATCCCATATGATTTAAATGAAAAACAGCCCTCATTTATGTTAAGAAAAAAAAGCTTTTAAAAGATAATCTTCATTAATACAATACATCATTTTCATCATTAGTATTACAGTAAGTCAGAATTTATTCCAGTATTTATCTTTCTGTTTCATGCAGTATGTGAATACCACACTGCAGTACTTATCAATGGCTGGCTGGCATGCAAATTTAAATATGAAAATTGCCTTTTTCTAATTTTCACATACAATTTGATCTGAATATCAAAAAAATTGTATTGTACTTGTACATGAATTCTAATCTAACATGCTTGGCATAAGTGAATGTATCCATGTTGAGAGTGCTAAACCCACAGGAGTCAGACAGCAGGCTCAAGTGGAACCTCTTGCTTAGCATTAGTAACCATATAGCAAATTATGCCTTACACTAGCTCTGCTGCCAAGCAAAATTTAGCACACCAAATACAGTAGCAATGAAGTGCTGATTTATTAATGCATATATCTGTTAATTCTGAGAATTCATGAAGTGTAGATTTGACTGATAAGCATCATACTGTAAAATTAATCTTAAAAGATAAAAAAAAAAATGGATACTATGTACAATTAATCATTCCTGTGAGATGCTAATAAAAAATACAGCCTGATTAAGAAATGAAAAAGACACTTCTATGAAGGTAGAAAAAGATTTTAACAATAGACAAAAGAAATACATATACATGTATTGAAAAAATGAAGTAGAGAAAACTACAGTGGGCTCTTAACTGAAATACGAGTAAGGCCTTGATTTAATGGACTAATAATGGGAATGAGAGTTTGGTAATGGCAATTATGGTGGATGGAGACAAGACTGTGTTGCCATGATCATAACAATAATGAATAATTTTATAACAGACTCTGTCCGCCATTTCCAAACCGACTAACCCAGGAGATTTTTGTCCTGTATTTCCGAAATCCCTTAAATCGAGATCCACTAAATCGAGGGTTTACAGTATTTCTAAACTTTGACAACAGCATGTTAAAACAATGACAGACCCAAAAGAATGAAGACTACCGTGATACATTATAATTATCAGAAGAAATACACATTGCAATAGAAAACAAAAAACGACACTGAAGAATACAGTTTTACATAAAAATGTGCATTACACCAGTGAATGAGCAACATTATAAGAAAGAAAGCAAGTGTTATATGAAAAAAATGGCATCCTCTTTCCAAATATTGTACTCTTAATAAGATGTCTATACAAGTTTTTATAACAATGTTCTAATATGTGTAATGACAAACAATTCCTTACCATCAGCAAAAGTGGACACTGAAGCCTGTTAGGCATGCAGAGTGCTAAGGGACAGCATCAACTAGTCATGCACACACATGGGAAAAACAAATTTAATACTCACTTATTTTTGCATATATGGCATTTATGATACACTGGAAAAATACAAGTGCTAGAGAATATGTAAATTTTTCTTTCTCTTCCCCATAACGTGTGCGAGTACTGAAAAGTAAGAGACGATGAAAAATATTACTCAACTTCCAACCCTCAATCAGTTTTGTCATGACACCATATTAAAATCCTAAACAGGCATAACCATTCTATACCAAGAATGAGTACCATACTGGAGTTGACATTTAACAAAAAAAACCTATTTCAGTGAAGCATAACGTACTGTATCCCACTAAATGAGATTTGTGCAGTTGTATAAATTATAGATTTAAGGTGACTACATATATCTTGCAGTGCTAAACCCTTCAAGGAACCAGAGCTATACTTCCCTTACCTGGATCAATCCTGCTGCTGGATCAGTTATACCTACCCTTGTAAAGTAAAAATCATTTCTAGATTATATACAATAGAAATACAGGTAGTCAATAATAGTCGAGGTACAAGCAAAGGCATGCCAATACAGAAAAACTGTGGAAATATTTATTGTAATCAAAGTGAACCCCTCAAAGAAGGTTTTTTGATGTTGGTGAGGGGGCTCTTGATCTAAGGAATTGGAGCAATTCTCCAGTTCTTTGAATCAAGCCTGAATGCCTTCCATATCCCAAGGCACTGTATGACCCTTATGGGTTTAGTACTTCCCCATGAATTCAATAATAGAGTGAAGTGTTAAACCCATAGGAGTCATATAGCAACTGAAGGAATGGGAAGCATTCACCTTGAATAATAGGAAGGGGAGAAATTCAGATCTTTAGATTAAGAGAATAAAACAATACAAAATGGAAATCTTGCTTCATGGAACCCCTTGAAAGATAACATGAATTGTTCCAGTCATGGTATTGTGCCTTTTTATTCTTTTAAAACATATGAAGTTAGTGCTATTGGTCAACAGGTTTTTACTGTTGTTTTACAACCATTTTTGTGAAGTGGTGCAATATCACTGGTGTTTAATGAATGACCACTTGTGTCCAGGCACCTCGTCCATACAATAAGAAAGGTCCAAGACAGTCGCTTCTTGCAATTTTTGATGAATATGGAATTCCATGAGCCTAGTCCTGGGGCAGAATGCATGGGCATTATTATTATTATTATTATTATTATAATTAGGGGGAAGCATTAAACCTGTAGGGCTTATACAGCCCCTGTGGGAGGGATGTGGAAGGTATTCAGACTTAATTTAGGGAACCGGAGCACAGATCCAATTCCCTAGATCAAAAGCCCCTCACCAGCGTCAAGGAAGCTTCCCTGAGGGGATGGGCATTGCAGATGCCTTCTTCCAAGTCAACTGGAGATAGGACTCTGAAGAAGCAATTGATAGAATGTACATGCACTCTGCAAAGGAATAATATTCTGAAGGACACACTTTATAGACACATTGTTTCAGTGTGTTCAGCAAAAAAAAGGTTCTGAATAATGACTTAATATTCCTCCAAGTGCGGTATGAGCCCTATAAGTTTAGTTCTCCTCCCTAAATGTAATTATTATATTCATGGGGGAGTGCTAAAACCAGAGGGGTTAAGACTATTCAAGGAACTGAACCTGTCCAATTCCTTGAATGAAGTTTCTTATATCAATAACCTCTCACCAGCACCCAGGCACCTCCCTTGATGGGCCGGGATATAATAATAGTAATAATAATAATAATAATAATAATAATAATAATAATAATAATATTAATAATACATGTAATACAATCAGAACTAAGCGCTAAACCCGGCCCTGGATGTAATAATTTGTATACCTGTTCTCTTGATCGGAAACCAAATACCAAGTCAACTTTTTAGCATCAGTAAGTTCATTTAGGTACACAAGTAAAATTTTCATAGTGTAATTTACCCAGGATAACCAAAAATAGGTCAGACTTACATTGACTCTTGTAACACGCCATAATAGAAGTAGAGGAAGAAAATGCCACCGGCATATATGAGGAACTTGGCCCTATGGAAGAGTCCCTGGTCACTCTCGGTCATGACTCCTGCAGGTGTGTGTGCAGCAGGTGAAGGAATAGTGGAGGTCGTCCTCCAGTAACCTCTGCTCTGGCGGCTTTGCTTGCTGGGAGTTGTTAATGGCCACCAAAGTTAACGTCTTATTGAACCCTATTGGCCGGGAATTCGGGGAAAAATATGTTGCGGAAACTATAAAGGAAACAAAAAGGTTTGCCCCGGAAAGAGAAACAGGATCAAGGTGCCAGTTAGATCAGGTGAACCGTCTTGCCTCAACCTCAGCAGAGTCAGTCGTCCACACACACAAGCGCGTCCACCTGAGTCAACAACAACAGGCTTTTAAAATTCCTAGAAGGAGGTGCGTCATGGCGCCTAGAGCCAGTACTGAGCTGTCTAAGACACGACAAGTGTCCCGGGGAGCAAACAAGTTAAATTTCAACACTGATACTTGAGGCAGGGGTGGAGGAGAACGTCTGCACTTCACCAACACCGGTGCAGAAGTGCCCTCAATTAAGGGCCCTCCAGGTGCCAGTATAAATGGAAGAGTAAAACACAGGAGTTCAAGTAGAATCCAATACCTTTCATGCGCTTTAGGAACCGGTTCCCTTCTGCTACGTGGCGATGAACGTCTATATTAAAACCAATAAATGTTTCTAGACGTGTTCCTCCTTCATTTGTGAAGTCCATCCTCAGTGCTATTAACAGCACCTAACTAACAAAGCAAGTAAACAAATAAAACAAATTATACTAGTTATGGTTAGTAGAATTTTAGGTCCTGATCAGAACTAACTTAGCATATTATTATGTAAAATAGAGTCATGAACACCCTGGCAACGTGTTATATACATGTACTTGTTTACTCCCTGATGTACACGGGTTGTATGGAGGTAAAATGTAAACTAGTGCCAGAGTTAAGAGAGTAGCATTAATCTTTAACTATTACCGTTACTGCCCAAATTTTTATTTTGGAAGATATTAGCAAAAATAATTTTTGGTATTAGCGGCACATCAGAGCCAATCAACGAAGATGCCCCATTCTCATACTTACCGCTTACCTGGAGAGAGAGTGTTCCGGGGGTCAACACCCCCGCGGCCCGGTCTGTGACCAGGCCTCCTGGCTGAAGAAGGATATTTTAAAAAATAAATTATCGATCAGCTCTGCGTAACTTATGTCTTGCCTAAATGAGAAACATCTAAAGTAAACTAAATAGATAAGTGTCATATATGGCGCTGGAGGAGGAAGAGTGCAGGTAAGCGACTACATGTCACCAACATTAATAGATTTAACCAGGAATGTTCTGCATAATTATGGGTTTTCTGCATACACACAGAGCCGGAGTAAGATTTTATAGGCCGCTGGGCTACAGGTACTGTGAAGTCCCCAGTGATATTTTCAGAAGGAAAAAAAAAATCACAACAGTCAAGAGTTGATAATATACGTGTTGTAATAACATACTATAATTATGAACGTACAGCAGTAACTGAGAACACATCTCAATGTCTGGAGGCCCTCCAGCTGGCGGAGGACCCTGGGCTGCAGCCCCTGGATAAGATAAGATAAGATTTCGTTTGGATTTTTAACCCCGGAGGGTTAGCCACCCAGGATAACCCAAGAAAGTCAGTGCGTCATCGAGGACTGTCTAACTTATTTCCATTGGGGTCCTTAATCTTGTCCCCCAGGATGCGACCCACACCAGTCGACTAACACCCAGGTACCTATTTGCTGCTAGGTGAACAGGACAACAGGTGTAAGGAAACGTGTCGAAATGTTTCCACCCGCCGGGAATCGAACCCGGGCCCTCCGTGTGTGAAGCGGGAGCTTTAGCCACCAGGCCACCGGCCCTCCAGCTGGCGGAGGACCCTGGGCTGCAGCCCCTGGAGGCCCTCCAGCTGGCGGAGGACCCTGGGCTGCAGCCCCTGGAGGCCCTCCAGCTGGCGGAGGACCCTGTGCTGCAGCCCCTGGAGGCCCTCCAGCTGGCGGAGGACCCTGGGCTGCAGCCCCTGGAGGCCCTCCAGCTGGCGGAGGACCCTGTGCTGCAGCCCCTGGAGGCCCTCCAGCTGGCGGAGGACCCTGTGCTGCAGCCCCTGGAGGCCCTCCAGCTGGCGGAGGACCCTGGGCTGCAGCCCTTGGGGCCCTCCATGCTGGCGGAGGACCCCGGGCTGCAGCCCTGGAGGCCCCTCCAGCTGGCGGAGGACCCTGTGCTGCAGCCCCTGGAGGCCCTCCAGCTGGCGGAGGACCCTGGGCTGCAGCCCCTGGAGGCCCTCCAGCTGGCGGAGGACCCTGGGCTGCAGCCCCTGGAGGCCCTCCAGCTGGCGGAGGACCCTGTGCTGCAGCCCCTGGAGGCCCTCCAGCTGGCGGAGGACCCTGTGCTGCAGCCCCTGGAGGCCCTCCAGCTGGCGGAGGACCCTGTGCTGCAGCCCCCTGGAGGCCCTGCAGCTGGCGGAGGACCCTGGGCTGCAGCCCCTGGAGGCCCTCCAGCTGGCGGAGGACCCTGTGCTGCAGCCCCTGGAGGCCCTCCAGCTGGCGGAGGACCCTGGTGCTGCAGCCCCTGGAGGCCCTCCAGCTGGCGGAGGACCCTGGGCTGCAGCCCTGGAGGCCCTCCAGCTGGCGGAGGACCCTGGGCTGCAGCCCCTGGAGGCCTCCAGCTGGCGGAGGACCCTGGCTGCAGCCCCTGGAGGCCCTCCAGCTGGCAGGACCCTGGGCTGCAGCCCCTGGAGGCCCTCCAGCTGGCGGAGGACCCTGGGCTGCAGCCCCTGGATGCCCTCCAGCTGGCGGAGGACCCTGGGCTGCAGCCCCTGGAGGCCCTCCAGCTGGCGGAGGACCCTGGGCTGCAGCCCCTGGAGGCCCCCCAGCTGGCAGAGGACCCTGGGCTGCAGCCCCTGGAGGCCCTCCAGCTGGGGGAGGACCTGGGCTGCAGCCCCTGGAGGCCCTCCAGCTGGCGGAGGACCCTGGGCTGCAGCCCCTGGAGGCCCTCCAGCTGGCAGAGGACCCTGGGCTGCAGCCCCTGGAGGCCCTCCAGCTGGCGGAGGGCCCTGTGCTGCAGCCCCTGGAGGCCCTCCAGCTGGCAGAGGACCCTGTGCTGCAGCCCCTGGAGGTCCTCCAGCTGGCAGAGGACCCTGGGCTGCAGCCCCTGGAGGCCCTCCAGCTGGCGGAGGACCCTGGGCTGCAGCCCCTGGAGGCCCTCCAGCTGGCGGAGGACCCTGGGCTGCAGCCCCTGGAGGCCCTCCAGCTGGCGGAGGACCCTGGGGTGCAGCCCCTGGAGGCCCTCCAGCTGGCAGAGGACCCTGGGCTGCAGCCCTTAAGGTCACAACCATATATCACCCACCTTTGTACAAACATTGTATCATGCTCAGATAAATCTTCCTTGTCTTGTCTAAATTCACCAACATTCCTCAATACAACTGAAACTTTTATTTATTTACAAGTTAACAATCTGCAGTAGACTGTTAGAATATATGACGTTACAAAACCACTGTGGCATACACTACAATATTTTATATATGCTATTTTAGTGGGTAACATCACTGGATATTTTTTCTGACTAGTTGGAGAGCAGAGGGAGTTATTTTAGACTGAAGTTGGTGTAAAACTTAGGTATTTGCAAAGACTGCTTTTATTAACTGAATTTTTAATTATCATATAGTAATTTTGATATAAGTACAATATTTATATTTATTTGGATATAACCTTAGCTGTTAATTGAATAATATTGACCCCAGTTTAAACAATCTTATAATCTGCACTAATTATTATTATACGAATTAGATTTCAGGTTTTTCGTTCCTAGAACTGTATATTTGTTATATTATAAACACATACATGTCTTATCACTGCTCACATAAATGCAATTTTAAATATACAGTAGTCTGAAGAGGACTCCAGTTGAGGGTCGAAATACAGAAATCAGCGTTACTTTCCGTATTTCTGTATCCATGTGGATTATTACATAGAGTATTGCAGTCACCTTTATTACAACCGTTTTGTGCGGCTACACATGCCGCATTACATGTGTTGCCGCAATGCGTATGACCTGGTGGCTAAGCTCTCGCTTCACACGGTAAGGGTCCGGGTTCGTTTTCCGGGAAGGGGTAAAATGGACTTTTTTTAATTTTTTGCTTTTTACCACGAAAAGGGGCCTGGGTGGGGTTTAATTTTGGGGGGCATCCGGGGATAAGACGGGTTTTTTTGACTTTTTTTTGGGGGGGGTGCCTACCCACAAAAAAAGGGGCATGCAAATTCCCAAAAACCCGGGGGTCTAGTTGCCACGGCAGAAACACTTGTTGTTTCCTGACAAAGCCCCTAGCCGCCCGGGGGCCCCAAACTCCCATTTCCCAAAATTTCAGATAACAGGCCTTAGGGTTTCTTGACCAGACCAAAATTTTAAAAATATAAGATTTTAAAGGGATTAAAATTTAAAAACCCAGGTTTTTAAATTTTAGCCTTTGGTAAATGGACTGTTTCCTTGAAGATTTAAAAAAAATTATTATTAAAATTTTAAAAAAATTTTTTTTTTTTTTTTTTAAATTTTTTCAAGGGCAGGAGCCGTTTTTGGTTGGTGTGTGTTTGTGGGAAAAAAGGGAAGGGGGGGGGGGGGGGGGACGCGGAGGGGGGGGCCTGGGAAGAAGGTTTTTAGAAAGGGGCCCCCCGAAAATAACAGACAAAAAGGGAGAGAGTGATAAAAGGATCCCCCTAAAAAAGGGTTGTTATTTAATTTTACAAATTGAGGTAATGGTGTTTTTCCTCCCCCCCCTCCTAAAAAAAATAGGACCTGGGTTAACCAATTGTTTTTTTTTTTTGGATATGCTTCCGTAAAAAAAGGCACCTGTTTTAGGGTTGAAGCTTATTGGGGGCTTTTTTGGGGTTTTTTATTGGTAGGGGGGAAAACAAAGCCTTGTAATTAAGACGTTTTCTTTGTTTTTTAAAAATTTTAAATGTGACATGGCTTTTAAAAAAAAAAAAATTTTTATTAGGGAGGGGGTCGTTTTTCATTAGTCACTGCTTTTAAAAATTTATATAAAAAATTACGGTAATTAAGCCCCCCCCCAAAAAATTCCCCGGTAACTCAAAAAAAATCCAAATTTTTTATAATAGTAAGTTATTTACCCAAGTTACCCCCAAAAAAATAGAAATTATCAAAATTCAAAAAAATCAAAAAATTTTATTTTATGTTTGTTGAGTTTTTTAAAAAAGTTGGGGGCAAAAAAAAGGAAAAACAGGTTTCAGAAAAACCCAAAAATGTTTTTACAAAAAGTTTATCCAAAAACCCGAAAAGGGGTTGGAAAGATACGGCCCTTGAAGAAAGAAAATGATTTTTTTCGAAAAAACCCCGGGGGTTGCCAAGGAAACCGAAGCTGGTAGGGGAGTTAATTTTTTTCCCTTGGGTTTTTTTTAAAAAAAACCCTAAAAAAAGAAACCCCACCGTCGACTAACCCCAGGGACCTGTTTGCTGTGGTGAACAGGAAAGGTTTAAGGAAAAAATTTTTTACCCCGGGAAAAACCCGGGCCCCCGTGTGGGGGGTT